ATTCATTTGTTGTTGCTGATCTCGTTCGCACACCTTGACTTGGATCACCTATTATCTGTTCAACAGGATGTGCTCTTGTCCACTTCCTCTCATGAGTTAGAGGAGTTGGAGTAATTATTGGTTGATCTGAGTCCTGATATGAATTTGTAGGCTCTGGGGCAGCTGTGGTGTGTAGTGGAGATGATTCCGGGCTTATGGCAAAGCCGTGATCATCCACACCTCTGGGATTGGTTTGAGGGGTTGAGGGTGTGGATGGTACGTCATCTGGTCCTGTGAGAAGCGGAATCTCTGCTGTTGGAGTTGATGTTGACTCTGGAGTGTATGCAGGAGGTGGAGATTGTGAGTTCTCGTAAAAGTTTCTGAAGAGAGAGTCGAGAATCACATCGTCGTGTTTGGTGTTTGGTTCAGCTTTATCAGAAGCTACTGGTACAGCAGTGGATGGATCGGTCTGGAGATGTTCAATAGCAAAGTCTGCCATTTCATAGAATGTAACGTTTACACTCTCGATGACAGTCCGCTTGTCTCTGAGATAGACTCTGTAAGCTTTGGATTGCAGTGAGTAGCCAATGAACACGCCTTCTCTGGCTTTGGGATCCAGCTTACTTCTCTCTGTCCGATCATTGAGTATGAAGCACTTGCAGCCAAAAACCTTGAGGAAAGAAATATCAGGAGTTTTGTTGAATAGGATCTCATATGGAGTCTTGTCGAAGCGCTTGTGGATGAAGGTTCTGTTCTGAGTGAAGCACGCGGTATTGATTGCCTCTGCCCACATGAAGTGAGGCAGTCTTGATTGGATTAACATGGTGCGTGCTGCTTCAACAAGGGTTCTGTTCTTTCTCTCAACAACTCCGTTCTGCTGGGGAGTTTTAGCTGCTGCAAATTGCTGAGTGATACCGAGTGATTCATAGAACTCAGTGAGAGTCTGATTTTTGAACTCGGTACCATTGTCAGTTCTGACAATTCGAACACTGTGCTGTAGCAGTTTCTGGATCGTTCTGATAAAGGTCATAATGTTTTCCGCAGCTTCGTCTTTTGATCGAAGAAATTTTGTCCATGTATACCTAGAGAAGTCATCAACGATCACCAGAGTGTATTTGCGACCGTTGATGCTTTGTACTCTCATAGGTCCACACAGATCCATGTGTATTAGCTGCAACTGATGAGTAGATGAAGGTTCAGATTTTGACTTGTGGGAGCTTCGCGTCATTTTGCCCATTTTGCAGGCACTACAATGATTTTCAGCGGAAGACTTTAGCAGAGGAAGCCCCTTGACAAGTTTCTTGGAGGACAAGGTTGATAGATGTTTGAAGTTCAGATGAGAGAGACGTCTGTGCCATAGGTTGTTCTGTTCAGTTGAGGCTTTGGACAGCAGACAGATGGAAGTGGTGGATTGGACGCTTTTCAGATCAATAGTGTACAGATTTGATGTTCTGTAACACGTTAATAATGTATTTCCTGTGCTGTCAAGAACACAGCATTGTTTTGCAAAGAACCTCACTTCCATCCCGCTGTCACAGAATTGTCCAATGCTCAATAAGTTGTGTTTGAGCCCTTTGACGAATGAAACATCTTTTATTGTAACGCTGGCACAGATGACGTCCCCATACCCAAGGATAGGAGATGAGGCGTCATTCCCGAATCTGACATTTCCTCCGTAGCAGTTGGTGTAGTTGCTCAAAAGGTGCTTTATTCCAGTCATGTGGGTTGAGCATCCTGAGTCCAAGTGCCACACATTACCATCCTGCAAAACAATCAAAAAGATTAGGTACCCAACTTGGAGTGGGTCCTTCCTTATTATCAAGAAACACCTTTTTAAAACTTGCTTTGAGCAGTGATCCAAGGTCAGCTGCTCTTTCAACAAAAGATCTATCTTCGATGGGCTTTCCAATTGCCAGATCTGCTTTTGCAGTGTGTCTGGTTTTTGGAGTCCACCTAGCACTTTCCATTTTGGTGGTTGTGATGTTGTGAACCCACCTTTCCATTTTAGTCCGTGTGGGTCTAAGTTTGGGGACCCACCTTTCAGTTGCAGTTATGATGGGTCTTCGATTTGGATCCCACCTATCAGTTTCAGTTATGATGGGTCTACGATTGGGAACCCTCCTTTCAGTTTTAGTTTGGATGGGTCTTCGTTTGGGGACCCACCTATTCGATTCAGGTTTGGTAGGTCTCATCTTGGGAACCCACCTTTCCGTTTCAGTTTTGACGGGTCTTATCTTGGGGACCCATCTTTTCATTTTAGGTTCAGGAGGAGAGAAGACAGGTGCTTTGTGATTGAACGGTTGTTTCTTGAGTTTGGTTTTAAAAATCTCCTCCTTAGAAAGCCGATTAACATGTTTCCTAGAGTGAACTCTAAGGGCATATTTCATATCTGGGATACAAAACGTTCCCTTAGAGGTTCCTTTCTTGGTTTCTTTTTCAGGTTTAAGCTTTCTGGAAGGCTTAGATTTAACAACATTCATATCACATTCATAATTATGGGGATCTGGAACATAATAACCATAAGCAACACTTGTATTATAAATAGAACTTTGTCTAGAAGATGTCTCAGAAATATTCAGCTTGGGACTCAAGACTGAACTGTTAGAAGTTTGCTTTGTAGAGACAGAATTACAATTAGCTTTTGAGTAAAATATTAAACTATATCTAGGGCTGGCACTTTTCTCAAAAACTTTCTTTTTGCCATCTGCGATTTCCTTCCTCTTTTTCCTCCACTCATTCTTCTCTTCTCCTTCCTTATTCACTTCATTCCCTGTAAACAAAGGAGAAGAGAGATGAGTGGACGAACCTTTAAAAGCATTGTTTTTCTCATGTGAGGTGTGTGAGCTGTCAGGCTTGCTCGTAGAAGGGTCTGTTTTAGCATGAAACTGCTCACTCAAATCATTAAATTTTTGAAGAAGTTCCTGCCAGTTGCGCTCAAAACCTTTCTTTTCAGTTTCAAATCTCTCTCTCTCGTTATCAAGAGTTTTCTGTAGGTTTTTGAGCTTTCGAGCCATGGGAAAAATACACGGTTCCTCACCAGTTTTAGCAATACCTACTCTTGGGGGAGGGTCTAGAGGGTGTCCTATGTGAGGAATATCTTTGGCATAAGGATCAAGGCATTCACTAAAGCAGGAAGTAGGTTTTTCTTCTGAAAGTTGTTTTTCATTTACAGAGGGATAATCACAAGAAATCGTAGGTTTTGGTTTCTTTCTCTTTTCTTCTTCTGCTTCAGCATAATCTTCATCACTTCGAAAATACATTTTCTCACCAAACCCTAGTCCCATGTAATCTTTGTTATAGATTTGAAGGCAATTAACTTTCTTAAGATTACGTGGGTTAGTTATGCCCAGTCCTGTTTTAGCATTGTAGAATCGATCATCCTTTTGTTTGTTGTTAAGCAGAAAAACAGTTTGTTCAGATTGACCTCTTCTAGCAGCTAGATCTTCTAGTTCCTTTACTTTATTTAAAAGCGTTCTTCTTTTGTTATGCAAAAAATCGCATTCAGCCTTTGCTGTGCTTTTTTCCCGTTCACTGTCCTCAAATTTCTTAGTTAGTTCAGCTATCTTAAGTTCAAAGTTTTCAAAATCTGAGGACACCTTTTTGACTTGATCTTTTGCAATTTCAAGTTGAATACTTAAGGAAGACGTTTGGTCTAGATTCTGTTTCAGAACTCTATGATTATTGTCTAGTCTCTCCTTTAGTTCTTTGATTAGATTGTCCTTTTCAAGTAAGGACTGCATTTGATTATTTAAAGAAGTATGGGAGGTACTTACCGAGCTTGTTGAGCACTTGCTTTCGGGGATCGCAGCGTCACCCTTTATTTCATCTCCCTCCACACTTGCCATAAGAGCATAGTTGTCTTCCTCTTCCTCCTCCTCAGAAGAATCTTCTGCCCAGTTTTCATTCTCAGCAATCATGGCAGAGGTTTCTTCTTCTTTCTGCACCATCAGCATTTTCTGCTTATTCCACAGCATCTTCTGCTTGTAGAAGTTAGCATCTTTCTTCTTTGGGAGGCGGCAGTCTTTGATCACATGTCCTAGTTTGCCGCAATTATAGCATTTAGGAGCTTCTTCTGCTGATGATGCCTTCCTAGAAGATCCTTGATCATGGTTCTTCTGCTTGTAGTTTGAGGAGGAAGTTCTCAGCCTGTTGGAGGAGGTGTTCTTCTTAGCAAATCTTTTGGCCAGCAGTGCCATCTTCTTTTGTAAGTCTGCTAGCTCAGCCTCTAGATCAGATTTGTCATCATCACTTTCATCATCATCTGATTCAACCACCACCTTCTTCTTTTTCTTCTTTAGTGAAGTGGTTGTCCTTCTTGGCTGAGCATCCATTACAAGAGCTAAGGGGTTTGTGGTGTGATGATCCTCAGCGCAGGCAACCTCGTTGACGAATTGCTTCAGATGTTCATAGAGTGTGCAAAGGTCAATTTCGTCCAAATCTATCCGAGATCTGACATCCTTCACTGTCTTTTCCCATGCAGGATGTAGGCTAGATAAAAATCTAATATTCAGTTCCAGATTGGACCTGAATACTTTGATCTTTCTGAGCTCATTTACTAGTTGAACAAGTCTGTTGTAAGTCTCATTCAATGGTTCTCCTGGACCTGCTTTGAAGGAGTCATAAGCGATGAGAATCGTAGTCTTCTTTGTTTTGAGGCCGATGCTTGTGCCTTGTAGCAGCTTCTCAATTTCATCCCACATCTCCTTAGCTGTCTGCACGCTATCTATGAGAACATAAACCTCGTTTGGTATTGCTTGAAGGAGGTACGTTTTGGCCATAAGATCACCACGAAGTCTGAGCTTGTCGGCTTCTGTGTATTCAGATGGCACTTTTCTCCTTATTTCTGGAAAAATAGGAGGATTGTTCTCTGGATCTCCACCAACTGAAATCAAGAGTTCAGCTGGTCCTTCAAGCAAAGATTCGAGCATTGCAGAAGAGTTCTCTTTGTGCTCGAGGAAGTTTAGAAATCTGTTCCTCCACATTTGATATTCTCCCTTCCTGAGGCTAGGAGGGGTACTGCTGTTCCCTTGTGCATTGTATTCTGAACCCATTGCTGTACTAAACTGACCGTTCGAGAAAATTGATCAAAAGATTTTCAGAGGCAGAATCTCGAAAAATCAGATGTCGAGATCTGAATATCGAAATCTCAGATTTCGATAAAGGAGGCCCGGTATCGATATTTGGGCTCGAGATTAAGGATCTCGAGATTTGGGATCTCGAGATTTCAAATTTCGAGATGCTGATCTCGAGATTTGAAATGTCGAGAAGTTAATCTCTCGAAATCTTAATCTGATGAGTCAAATGTCGAGACCAGATGTCGAAACCTTTTCTCGAAATCAAGATTTCGAAATCCTAGGTGTCGAAATCCTCAATGTCGAAATCTTTCAACCTGTAAAAATCAGATAATCAAAATCTGAAGATAGTTTCCTGTAGAGTTGAATGTCGAGATCTTCTGGTAAAGTTTTCAGCTCGAAAAACGTAGCAAAACCTGTGAAGAAGTAGGATGTCGAGATGCCTAGCTCGAGATATCTCGAAATCAAAAATTGCGTAAAACACAAACTGAAGTATACCCTTTGATCGCTTTGAAAAGGCGATTCCAAAGGTGTGACTTTTACAACTTTTGAACAAGAAACAAAATTACAGAGCAAAAAATCGACAGAATGAACTACGTTAACAAAAACAGAGTATTCTGCAGGAGTTCTTCTGATCGTTCTCGATCCGCTCTGATACCAATTTTTAGTCCCTGTTTCTTTCACAGCAATGAATAATCGATCTAACAAGGAAGATTAAACGTAAAGATGAACACAGAATGAATCACCGTAAAACCTTCTTTGATAAACCGTGGAACGTACAGCAGAATGATATAAGCGTAAGGCTATGAATAATAAGTACGACGTTCAACCTTTTCCTAAACCTCGGCTCCCTTTTTATAGGCGAGGTTTAGGTTAGGCGAAACAGGCTTTTGGCCTGTTTAAATGGGCCTAACACTTGGCCTGATTTCTATCTAATTTATGCACTAATTAAATACAAGGATTAAATATAAAGCTAATCTATGACCAACTTGATTCACAATTAAATATCTCCAACATACCTGATGGATAGTCTACCCGGGGGTATATATCCGAAGGGTTATTGCGGGGAACAACTTAGAGAAGGGTCAGAGCCAGTGAGTGAATGTAGAGAGAGAGTGTATTCAGTATGAATGTCGTGGTTACAAATGAGGAAATGGGGTGCTATTTATAGTAGCAATAAATGCCGGACAGGGACACGTGTCAAGCGCTCATTGGCCGAGGGGTCACCTCAACTGGTTGGCGCTGGCAACCGCATGTGGTCGCATTTAATGCGGCTGTTGGATGGGACGTCTGTGCAGGATACGGTGATCTGCACGCATGTGAGGCGGATATCTTGTCGAGTGAGATGCCTTTAGCTATAGAGCAGTAGCCGAGGGCTCCTCCAACCGACGGCACCCTGGTGCCGAGGGCTCATAGTGCTGAGGGCTACTGTTTCCGCCGTTTTCTCCCAGTTCCTTAATTTGCTTGAGAAACCCGTTCTGTGAGAGTTTAGAGCCTTCGGCCAAGGGGCCGAAGGCACCCCTGGCGCGTAGTGTGGGCTGCTTGGTACTCTGGGCGCTGTGATTTGGGCCTGTTGGGCCTCCTGGGCCTGTTGGGCCTTCATTGGTGTAGTAGGAGTCTGTGGGCCGGGTGTTCCCGGGCCATATACTCCATCAGGAGTCCCTCACTCCTTTTGCCGAAAGGTACTTGAGGGAAAAGGAGTAATTTGTGCTTGCCCTTTGATGTTGTCCTGTCGTGATCTCTGAAGTTGGTGAGGAGTTGTTGCTTTTATGTCCCTGCCGAAGGCAGTCCCTCAGTTACCCACATGTCGGGACTTGAGGGCTTGCTTTGTCGTTTGTTGGAATTTCACTAATTTTGTAATTTAATGATTTTCCCGAGGGGTTCTCCAGTCCCCCACTCCTTGAGGCACTTGTAAAGTGGTGAAAAGGAGTAGAGTAGTAGAGTAGTTGCGTTGCTGTTTGTGGGTCGAAGGCTGACGCTTTCCGTTTCATTTTGGGGGGATGCCTCGTTAAAAACCTCATTAGGAAAAACCCTGTGGGAAAAAATCCTAATGAGGGGAAAAGAGTGCACCGAATTCCCCCAATGATGAATCGAAAATGTCAAACCTTGGTAAAAAATGGAGAATAACGGGAATGCCGAAGGCTCTCTCTTCTGAGGGCTCCTGTGTTGATTAGCCGAAGGCTTGCTGTTGATGTCCTGGTGGCACCGAAGGGGAGCCCCTCAATCCGGGGATCGAGGGCTTGATGGATGAGGGCAGTAGTGGAGTTGTTACCGGGGGTCCACTGTTTGTTGATTAGTTAGTGATGAAGATACCCGAGGGCTCCCATTGCCTGTGTGCGATGGGTTATCCGTCAATGAAGGCAACTCCCCGGGGGCTACCCGGTTTTGTAGTGCTGAGGGGGAATTCCCGAGGGGTGCCCTGATATGAAGCCTTGGGTTTCTGAAGGAGTGATCCCGAAGGCATCTGCTATGTGCTGTGTGGGGCACATCCCGGGGGCACTTCTGGGTAAGTGTACCCGGAGGCTATCCTTGATGAAGTGGAGTGAAGTAGAAAACCCGGGGGCTTCCAGAATATAGCCGTTGTAAATATAGCCGTTGGAATATATAACGTCAGGTTTATAGCCGTTGGGGGGGTACACGTGGCATGTAGCCATTGGCTGCTCGCGGGCGGGCGTCACCGGTTGGGTGAAACGACGGTGCGTAATGATGGCTTTGGCGGCTAGGAGCCCGGATCTCGGCCCAAGCCCGGATCTGGGAGCCTATAAATACCCCCAAGCCAGGGCCATTCCTCCTTTACGCATCCAACATCCCTAGCGAAGCTCTGCAAAAAATTCTAGAGAGAGAAACTCAAGCCTTCGGTCAAACTCCTTTCAAGGTCAGTGCCCCGCTTTCCCCTCAGCACTTTTTGCAAGTTCCGCCCTCTGGCCTTAGATTAGGGTTAGGGTCCCGTAGAAATCTTTCGAAACCTTAGGTGCTTTTCGTGGCAAAGAATGTCGTCCGAGAGCGATTCCCAAAACATATCGGGGGACCCTTCGGTTGATGAGGAGCACGCTTCAGATGTGGAGTCCGTGAGCGAGCCCTCGGACGGTGCTGATGCCGCCCTGGCCCGGGAGGTCCAGAAGGAACTCATTGCTGAGGTCGAAGCCGAGGGCTTCGAGCAAGAGTGCGAGGATGAAGACTTAGCCCTCGCATGGCAAGCAGCGGAGGATGAGGCGCAGAACGAGAGCTCGAAGGTTATGATTGCTGTTCTCTCCCCCCCCCCCCCGGGGTTCTGGGGAGGCCCGTAGCTCGAGGCCGCTAGATCCGATACCTCTGAGGGCGGTTTCCGGGTTGAAGAAGAAGAAGGTCGCTACCAAGAAGAAGGAGAGGGCCGTCGATCAAGGAAAGCCAGTGGACATGCCCGAGGGGTACAGTTGGCTGAACACTGAGGCCCTCGAGATTAGGTCGAAGGCTGATAGGGCAGATCTGTACGTGACTCAGCTGCACGTGGGGCCCTCAGCCGAAGTGGTGGAGCCAGGTCCTGACGACGTGCTGTCCAAGGCGCCCGAGGGGTGTATCGCCATCCACGTCCTCTCGGTTTCTATGGGACTTAGGTTCCCTCTGCACCCGTTCCTCCGGGAGTACTTGAAGTTTGTTGGTTTGGTCCCCTGCCAACTTACGCCCAACAGCCACTCCTACATTGCGGGGTTCCTCCAGCTCTGCAAGTCCCGAGGGGTGAAGCCCAGCCTGGATCTATTCTTCCAGAGCTTTAATTTGTGCCGGGGGGGGGCACGAAAACGGCGAGGGGTACGCAAACCTGCAGCAGATTGCCCGCTTCAAGCTATTCTCCGATGCTCCTTCTTCCAACAAAGGATGGAGGGAACGTTGGTGCTATGTAAAGTTGGGTGAGAACCCATTCCCGAGGGAGCTGCGCGATCGATTCCGAAGGCACGAAAAGATCAGGAGTGCTGCCCTCGAGAAAGACGGCCTAAAGCTGGCCAAGTTCCCGGAGGGGAAAAATAAGAACGTGGCGATCAAAGATTGCACCCTCGAGGAGGATTTATACACCCTCGGGTTCCGGAGGTACCGCTTCATAGGGGAGACCGATGAGAAGTACCCTCCCTTCAACAAGGCCTTCGGAGGAGCCGGAGGTAGGAGCCGAGGGCTTTAGATTTTTGTACTTAGTTTTTTTTTGCTTGGATGTCATTGTCACTTCGCTTAGACCCGTCGGCCTAACCCTTTGTCATATTTTTTGCAGGTATCCCCGTCTCCATGGTGAACGTGAAGGGCCTCGCTCGCCTGAAGAAACAGGACCCGAAGGGGTCTGGACAGGGCAACCAGAAGCCCACCACTGCCCTCTTCAAGAAAACCGAGGGCGATGCCGCTGCTAGCAAGAGGAAGGCGGCGACCAAGGGGTCCCCCCCGGCTATCAAAAAGCCGAAGAAGGGGGACATCACCGATAAGGAGCCCCCGGTCATCATTGCTGATGAGCACCCTACCTCCGGGGTTCATGTGGAGAAGCCGTCGGGTGGAACGCCGGCGGGGGCAGAGGAGTTGCTGCCTGAGGTCCTCCAGGTTTCGTTTCCGAGGGGTACCTCCCTGGCCAGCGGCGCTGTCGACCCGGGGGCCATCTTGAGGGGCATAACCCCTGAGACGGATAGAGCTGCCCTCGGGGCTTATAATGATGCGGCCCTCGAGGACCACATTCTCCGCTCCTCCCTCTCTGTAAGTGTTCACTTGGCTTTCTCCCTCTTCTCCTTTGATCATATTGTGTGATTGCCTTTAACCGTTTTGGTTGTTGGTCTGCAGGCTTGTCTAGCCCTCGGTGAACATGCCCGGAGGCTTCAAGAATGGCGCCTCCATAAAGCAGAGCAGGACGCCAAGATGAAGGAGTGCATCCTCAAAAATAAAGAGGCGGTGAAGCTGGGGGCCAGGCTAGAAGAGGAGCTTCGGCAAATGGAGCTAAGATTGGAGGCTGCAGAGAAGAGCAAGGCTGATGCTGAGGCCGCTGCTGAGGAGGCCAGGAGAGCTGCCAAAGAGGCCGAGGACTCCAAGGCGCTAGCCGTCGCCAAGGCTCAGGAGGAGGCCGTTGATGCCTTCGTCGCCGAGGGCTGGAGAGCCGAGGGACGCAAGATGTGGCTGTCCTCGGTCGTGGAGGCATACGTCGAGGAATGGGCCGAGGGCCCTGGGTGGGAATGGATGGCCCGGAAGGGCAGAGAATATTATGAGGCCGGCGAATTCTTCACCCAGGCCCTCATCTACCGGAGGATGGCTCGGCATTTGGGCATTGAGCCAAAGGATTTTGCCCCCTCGGCATATGGCCTCCCTCCCCTGCAGCCTGATTTCCGTGAATCCCTTCCCGAAGGTGTACAAAGGCCCGACCTCGAGAACACAGAGCTGAGGAATGAGGCCGAGGACGACGCTGTTGAGGCCGGAGCGGAGGCATCGTCGAGGCCGGCTGCAGAGGGCACCCCGGTGAATGATGTTGTTGAAGTTGTCGAGTGATTTGTACTTAGAAATCCCTGAACATATTTTGTAACGAACAACATTGATCCTTCGGCTTCGGCCTGTTTGTAAATTTCACACTCACTTTTGTTTTTGATGAATGCATGCTGCCTCCGGGCTCTTTACATTTGAATGCGCCTTATGTTTTGAATGTATGCCTTCTCCTTCTTGAATGTATGTTTTAGGACTTAGAGTTTTTTCTGACTGTAGCTCGCCCCTGGAAGCCTTCGGTAGTTGGGCACCCTCTGCTGGATATGCAACCGAGGGTTCAGCAGGAATTAGGACCTAGAAAATTTTTCTAAGTGTAGCGCAGCATGGGGCCTTCGGGTGTTTGTAGTAACCCAATTCCTAGGACTTAGAAAAATTTCTAAGTGTAGATTTTTCCCTTGTGAGCCTTCGGGATATGGCATCCCTTCCTGATGTGTGAATATTGGACCGAGGGCCCAATGTTCAGGACTTAGAAAATTTTTGCAAGTGTAGCATGTCATGTAGCCTTCGGCTACTGTGGAGCCCCAACTGAATTATTGATTAGGCCGGGGGCCAATTCTTTAGGACTTACAAAATTTTCTTCAGCGTTGATTCCTTGTGTACTGTAGCCTTCGATTGATAGGTAGCCTTCGGCAATTAGGTCCCTTGAGATGAGGGTGAAATATGTAGGACTTAGAAAATCTTCTAAGTGTAGAGTTTCCCTTGGGAGCCTTCGGGAGATGGCGTCCCTCCATGATGTATGAGTAGTTGACCGGGGGGGAAATATGTAGGACTTAGAAAATATTCTAACTGTAGATTTTCCCTTGGGAGCCTTCGGGAGATGGCATCCCTCCTTGATGTATGAGTAGTTGACCGGGGGAAAAACATGTAGGACTTAGAAAATATTCTAAGTGTAGATTTTCCCTTGGGAGCCTTCGGGAGATGGCATTCCTTCTTGATGTATAACCTTCGACTGTCATATTCACTTAGCTGTAATATTGATTGAGCCGGGGGCCCACCTTTTAGAATTTTTTTTTGCAAGTGTTGTTGTATCGCATAGCCTTCGGCTATCATATTCCCTTGGCTGTGATATTGATTGGGCCGGGGGGCCACCTTTTAGAAATTTTTTTTGCAAGTGTTGTTGTATCGCATAGCCTTCGGCTATCATATTCCCTTGGCTGTGATATTGATTGGGCCGGGGGCCCCTCTTTAGGACTTAGAATTTTTCCAAGTGCTGCTTCCTTGTATAGCCTTCGGGTGATAGGTGTCCTCTGACTCTGCATTACTTTGCGAGATGCCCGGGGGCTACTCATTTAGGACTTAGAATATTTTCTAAAAAGCGTAAATTGATGTTGAGCTTTCGGATGTAGATCCCTTGTGTTGTATGAGTCTCTGGCCGAGGGCCAAATATGTGTGGAATCCTGTTGTTGTGAAGAAAGCCAATGACGAGTGTGTGCCCTCGGCATACACTTTAAAAGTTGTAGATTTTGACCCTTGCTGAAGCCTTCGGTGTTTGTGTGACCGGAGGTGACCAGGCAGTGGACTTAGCCGTTTCTTGATGATATTTGTTTGAGTAGTATCCTTCAGGAAACAGGAGCCTTCAATTACCGGAGGTGTCCCCGTGGGGGGCCCTCGGGATGTTGTGATCTGTTGGAGTGTACTCTTTGATTTCTCGCTGAGTCTACTCCCCTTCACCCCCCCACCCCCTTTTTTTTTGGTTGGTGGTGAAGGGAAGGCATCAAGAAACTTGGTTTCTTGGTAAGGCTGGGCCTATTAGGAGACCATCAGAATACACCAATGGCTCTCCTCCCTCGAGTTAACCTTCCGAGTTCCGAGGGGATCGAGGGTCGTTTCCTGGGCACAAGATATGGTGGTCCGTAACCTCCCTCCCCTTGGGGGATGGCGCGGAAAGCGCCTCATTTTTGAAAGTCGTCCCCTCGGCGTCAGACATAGTCCGTGGCCTGCCACACCCTTGGGGTGGTGGCGCGGGGAGCGTTTCGGTTTGGAAGTCGAATCATGGGCATTTCTCGTGCCTGTCACACCCTTGGGGTGATGACGCGAATAGCGTTCCGTTTTTGAAAGTCGAATCCTGGGCATTTCTCATGCCTGTCATACCCTGGGGGTAATGACGCGGAAAGCGTTTCAAGGAAGGGTTTTCATTTGCACACTAGTTGCAAATGGCCGGGGGCACTACGTGCCGCCGGCACCGATGGTGGCGCCTTCGGTATATGCGTCCTCGTGGGGTACGGCTTTTAGAAACAACACTTGGTGTTAGTTTCGATGTGTAGCCCCCGGTACTTGGTACCGAGGGGTCTTCTGTAGGAACACTTGGTGTTCTCTTTGTTGTAGTTGATGGAGGTGTCTACCCTCGGTACCTGGTACCGAAGGGTCTTCAAATGAAACACTTGGTGTTTCCCAATAGATGTTTGGAAGTTGATAGGAGAGCATATCTCTGGCACTGGGTGCCGAGGGGTCTTCTTTGAAACATTTGGTGTTCTTCTTCGTTTCGATGTTTGATGATGGAGATGTACCCTCGGCACTGAGTGCCGAAGGGAAATGAAATACATGGCGTTCTTTGTTGTTGGTGATAGGAGTTCCCTCCCTCGGTACTTGGTACCGAGGGGTCTTGACTGAAAACACGTGGTGTTTTCACTGTTGTTGTAGGTGTTGATGGTGTCCGCCCTCGGCACTTGGTGCCGGAGGGGCTTCTTCTTGTGGTGAGGCCTGGGGCCTGTAGTCAGTATGAGGGCTTGATGTCTTGAATGTATCTTCATTCTTCGAAATTGGAGGCCTTGGGCCATAGGATAGTACATTCATTAGTTATGAGGGCTTGGCCGCTCCTACATTATTGATAAAATTTAACTAAGTGGTGTACATTCCAGTGCCTAGGGACTTCTTTCCCGTTGGGGCGTTTGAGCTTGTAGGTCCCAGGTTTGATGATGGCTGCTATGATGTAGGGGCCTTCGAATTTTGGTGCCATTTTTCCTCCCTCGGTTGGTTGGCTGGCTTCCCTCCTCCGGAGGACATAGTCCCCCACTTGGAATTCTCTGGTGCGAACTTTGGCGTTGATGTAGCTTTTGACTTGCCTTCGGTAATTTTCTGCCCGGATGAAGGCCTGCTCCCGGCGTTCTGAAATGAGATGGAGGTCGAGGGCCATGTTGCTGTCGTTGACCTCGGGGTCATATTGGATCACCCTTCGGGTGGGAAGGGTGACTTCCGTAGGAGCTTTGGCTTCAAAACCGTAGCAGAGGGAGAAGGGTGTTTCACCTGTTGCTCGTCGAGGGGTGGTGCGGTAGGCCCACAGGATGTTGTGGAGTTCTTCCACCCAACCACCGCCTTCGGCCTCCAGCTTCTTTTTGAGGCCCTCGAGCAAGGTCCAGTTGGCGTTCTCTACTTGCCCGTTGCCCTGAGGGTAGGCAACAGAGTAGAAGGTGTGTTTGATGCCCCATGCCTCCAGAAGGGCACAGAAGGGGGCTGCCTCAAATTGTGTCCCATTGTCGGAGATGATCTGCTAGGGGACGCCAAACCTTGTGAGGATGTTCTTGAGGACGAAATGACGGCACTTCGCCTCTGTGATACTGGCGAGGGGCTCAGCCTCCACCCACTTGGTAAAGTAGTCGATGGCCACAATGATGTACCTGTTGTTGGAGGTACCCCTCGGCAGAGGGCCCACAAGGTCTATCCCCCATCGAGAAAAAGGGACAGATGTGCTGATGGGGGCATAGTTGACCGCTGGCCTGCCGGGGGCTTTCTGGAAATGTTGACATGCGGTGCACCTCCGGGCAAGGTCAGCACAATCTCTGGCCATGGTTGGCCAGAAGTAGCCCTGGAGAATGAGCCTTCGGGACATGGAGAAGGGTCCCTGGTGAGCTGAGCAAGTGCCACTGTGTACTTCCTCCATTGCGACCTCGGCTTCATCTTGATGAAGGCACCGAAGTAGTGTGCCATTGTAAGATCGTTTGTAGAGCCTTCCATCTTCAATGGCGTAGCTAGGAGCCCTCAGCTTCGCCAGTTTAGCACGGGTCTCATTCTCGGGTAGCTGCCCTGTGGAGATGAAGGCAGTGATATCTGAGATCCAATCCTCTTGACGTTGTTGTATGTTCATAACGGGGCTTGCATGGATACTTGAGAGGCTGAGTTCCTCAATTTTGGCAATTTTGGAGATGTGCTCGGGGGAGTCGGCCGAGAGCTTAGATAATATGTCGGCCTCGGAGTTCTGAGCCCTCGGTATTTGAGTGAGAGAGTGTGCCTCAAATACCTTAAGCAACTCCTTGGCCGCTTCCTTGTATTGTTTCATTCTTCCCTCCTTGGCCTCATATTCTTCGGAGATTTGGCCAACGACCAACTTGGAGTCGCATTTGATGTGGATCTGCCGAGCCCTCATGTTGGCAGCCAGCCGAAGGCCACATAGGAGGGCCTCATATTCGGCCTCGTTGTTGGAGACTTTGAAGGAGAAGCGGATTGCATAGTAGGCTCTGAAGCCCTCGGGAGTAATGAGGACTACCCCTCCCCCGCATGCTTTGGTCGCGGAGGACCCGTCGGTGTAGAGGGTCCACCAGTCGTCCGAGGTAGCCGAGGGCTCCCCGTCCGTGGCTGCCCTTGCGGTACATTCCGTCACAAAGTCCGCCAGGGCTTGGCCCTTGATGGTCGGCCTTGGACGGATGTCAATGTTGTACTGGCTCAAGAAGATAGCCCATTTCACCATGCGGGAGGAGCTGGTGGGGCTCCTCATGAGGGCGCCGAGGGGTTGATGTGTGAGGACCTGAACCGGGTGAGCCTGAAAGTAGTGGCCCAACTTCTTGACAGTCCAAACGATGGCTAACACCATTTTTTCCACAGGGGAGTACCTGAGTTCGGCCTCCCTTAGAGTCTTGCTAACGTAGAAGATGGCATGTTGGATGCCGTCTTCCTCCCGGATGAGCACAGAGCTGATGGCTGTCGGGCTGACCCCAAGGTAGAGGTAGAGGGTCTCCCCTACCTTTGGTTTTGAGAGCACAGGGGGTGAAGATAGATACCGCTTGAGTTCGTCGAAAGCCCCCTGGCATTCCGGAGTCCATAGAAAGCCAGCCGTCTTCCTCATGATCCGGAAGAAGGGTAGAGATTTCTCCGCTGATTTAGATAGAAAGCGGTT